TATTTTTCAATACGGTAAAAAAAATATATATATGTAATTATACACAGATTATATCATGCAAAAATTCTTTCCGTTTGTAGGTATAACGACAGTCCTTACAATGACTACAATTTCAACAGGTGTACGTAGCTCACTGCCACGTATCAGCTACGTAAAGGCTATTGACATTTATTTAGTAATGTGTTTTGTATTCGTGTTTGCGGCTCTGTTGGAGTATGCGGCAGTTAATTACACTTATTGGGGCGCAAGGGCGAAAAAGAAAACGAAAAAGAAAGAAACTGACGACAAAAAAGTGATATCCTCCAAGTCGGGTAAAACTTTCTCATTTTATACATATCGAAAGTTTTCATTTCATTCTCTAACGTATTTGTCATAATCTAAATTTAACTGTTATAGTTGAATCTCCTGTTGCCTTGAAAATGAGAAAGCAAAAGAAAAATCACTAATTAGTACAAATACAACTTTCGTAAAGCTCTAATCTTAATTATGCACAAACATTTGTCAAGTTATTTTAACCAAGCCTTACCAATCTACATCCTTCGTTAGCAAGGAATACATAATTGCTATCGCGATGAAAATGTAAAATTCGTATTTAAAATCAAGCGAGTCAAATTCTAGCTCTTTTAGAAAATTGTTGAAAACTCGTTGCAAGTTCAAATTTTCTATACACAAACGGAAAATCTTTTTATGTTTACAAATGAATAAGTACAGAATCGGATGAAAGAAATGCAAAAGCTTAATGACAGATCATTTTTTAGGGAGTAAAGCGAGTTCTCCGTTTCCTGGTTCAACAGAGGCAGATATAATAGAACTTCAAGATCTTAGAGTGTCTCCCCTGCCGAGCATAAGGAACAGATCAGGCCTGGTTAGTAGCAGTTCGACGCCTGGAACCGGAAGAGAACACGATCCGGCCAAATTCCCCCCTAGCTTTCGAATTTCCAGAGTCGCAGCCTACAATACGTATGGTAGGAACGTCGGCCTCAGATACAGAGGACCTAAACAGCACAAACCTAAGGTAAAATCCATCGGAGAATTAACATTTTTAGACAGTTCTTTCCTTATCAATAATATTGAATTATTTACAGCTTATATGACTTGTGTTCCATTCGTTGTTTCTTTCTATTCGATCAATCGTTTATTCTCGTTTAATATTTTTATAATTTGTCGTTATACCGAATTTAGTAAACTGCTCGCCAAAAACGTTGCAGCACAAATGAAATCGCACAAATTTAAAATTTACATATATTGTTTGGGGTATTGAAAGGGAAAAATGATTAAAATTTGGTGGAAAATGTTTCATTTATTAAAAAAGAAAGTCAGTTTTTCCTCAGAGTAGCCCAGAAAACACGCGTGATTTCCAGATTTGTGCAACCCTAATTTCTACTGTTCGTTCAAAATAAGAATAACCTCGCTCTCGGACCGATTTTTGTCCGTTCTGCGCAGAGAGCGTAGCAGAGGCGGTTAAGTGGGGGGTTTGGACGTTCTAGTGGCTCTAGCCCTGCCTTAGGCACGTCCCATGCGCGAAACGAGGTTATTCTTATTTTGAACGAAGAGTAGGTGTCGCAATTTTTCCGGCGAGTAGCGTATAAGTATGATAAAGTATATCGAATAAATGTGAAAGATATTCCTATTAAATGACATAATCTATCTGAAATTTTAAAATGTATACTATAAAAAAAAGAAAGGGAATAGTAGATTGTATGTATTCGTATTACCATTTCATTTGGAACTTCATTCTACAAGACGCGTCTCAACTGAAACAGGCCACGTAATTATCTCGCTTAGTTTTAACGATATGAAAAATTATTCATATGCAATTTGAACGATATCAAAGATCGAATAAGTTACAAGGAACATTTTCTTTATTTACTGTCGACACTAACGTACAAGAAAAAAAGTGTGCATTTGTGCACAAAAAAAAAACATGGCTGACCTTGAAAATAAAACAAAAATGCTCTTTGCATCGTATTTGTTCTTTGATACCGTTCAAATTACATACAAAACATTTTTCGTACCGTTGAAACTAAGGAAGATAATTAGACCTGTTTCATGTGGGACGCTCTGTATATCGGAATTTAAATCGATATTATGCTTTCCTTAATATATACAAAGGTTTGACAAAGATAGTTTGTTTTCCAATTTCGTAATTCTGCAATTAATTGATTTATTGTAAGTTATTTCAACTTATTTGCTAGATGAAAGGATCCAATTAGAGAAGCAGAATTAATTACAGTTGGCAGTTTTTATCGTAGTTACTATTAAATTATTATTTCGTTATCACTAATGCTATAATTTTATTAAAATATTACTGTAAATATATGTAATATTCTACCTTTTATTTGTTAGATCATTATTATTGTTATAATTATAATCTGAAAATTTCTAACCGCTAACATTAATTTGAAGCTTGAAATTATTTTTCTTCTTCTAGAAATTCTTATTATTTCGTTTCCTTTAAACAAATGAAAACGTTTTCGGACCATTTCTCGTTATTTCTCGTTGTTAGAGAAAGAAAAGAAATAGTGTTATAGTTTACACTCGTTACTCCCTTCTGCGATGAAAGAAGGGAAAATCTTCTGATAAATAAGATGCAGAATAAGAAAAAGAAGTAACGATTGCAGGTATTACACGCAATACGGAGAGGAGCATCTGTGTTAAGAGTATCGATGCCCAAGATCAAGGATGTGAATATCATCGATAAATATTCCAGAATCATATTTCCGGTCAGTTTTATGCTATTTAACGCTATCTACTGGGTATTCTACTTTCTCTGAGTGTAATCATCAACATTTTCTCGCCACCTGCCGTGCGACGAAAAAGACACACACAAAAAAAAAAAAAAAGGACCAATTGATAATCGAGAATTTACATAGATTTCAATAAAGAAAAATCAATTCAATTCGAATTTAAGAAAAGTTTTAAAATTAGGTCCCAAATATAGGCCCAAGTTGACATTCGAACACACACAATCGAAATCTTCAATCTCGATCGAAGGGAGCAGGTATCGAAAGTACTGAATCGAAAGCTGCCAATATTTATCGACGAGGAAATTTTTTTCAAGATTTAATCTCGAGGGGTATAATGATACGTTAGAAAATACGTTCCTAATTAACAGCTCTTCAATTCGAATGGGATAGTCTGCCGTGGGAAATTACGAAGAAACCAGTAGCGGAATTTTCTGATATTAGCGTCGAGAAGTAAAATCAAGTAAAATTAAGAAGATACAGAATGACATTGAAAATCGTAGAATGTTTCCATAGGGCAATTAGTTGACGATTCATCGGAACTTAATTAAAACTTTATAGAGCGCCAGGCAGACCGGTTTTCGAGGGTAAATCAAATCACTCACATCGATAATTATCGATGGTATCGAGACATTTTACATCTGCAATTAAATCGGCAAGTGTTGTTAGAGGAAAAAGAACATTGAAAAGAAGAGCATTTAAATTTTAGAAACATATATCATAAATTAGAGTAGTTTTCGATTAACAATTCTAAGTATCATTACCAAAGTAGCAAAGAAATAATATTACTGTTATATTTGAATATCGATTATCCTGGAAAAACCGCATCGCAGACATGTCACACATCGGTATCGTAAAACTGTATTTTTAACGTTTTTACTTTCGATATAGCGCACGATCAAGTAACCGCAACTATTGTGAACCTTTTCATTTAAACTTTAATATTTTTTTTAATATACCACAAAGCGAAACGAATTTACAAGTATTGTAATGCATATTATGTATATGATACAAGACGTCCTGTTTTAATCTATTAATAGAAATATTTGAAAAAGCGCGCTAGATCACAGAAAACGCTTTTAGAGTGTTACAGTAAGTTGTAAGTTGCAGACAGAAGGGTGCTAGGTGGTAGGTGTTAATATTAGGCCAACGTCACTTACGCTTTTTAAATAATATACTTTTTTCCACAAAATGATAGAGGGTAATGAGACTCAATCGTACCAAATCAAAGATTTGAGAGGCTTTCACGACCCGGTAACACACATTATTGCTGAGGCTTCCGGGTGTAAGCTGTGTCTTTTTACGGAAGAAATGTTCCGACGTCTCGTAAGCATGTACGCAGTTCGATTCATCAGAGTTCGAATGACGTAAAATAATGTACCTCAGCTAAGGCACACGCTAATATCAATGAGTCATTCGATACCTGACGATGTGAACTGCAGTGCTTACGAAACGTCGGGATATTTCTTCCATAAGGACACGACATACAACCCGGAAGCCTCGACAATAATCACCGTGGCATTTTATGTGTGACTTTACTGAAGAATTTGTAAAATAAAATATCGAAACTATAATGAAATTGCTCAAATGTTGAAATATTCAAAGACGTTTCCTCGATTATCAATGCTTAATTGTATTCTTCTTCTAAAGCTATTATAAACAGCTCTAAGCATTTCTGAAGTGATAGTATGGAATGCGTTTGTGATCCGCTCTTTCATGTCGTCAACTGTTGTTGGTTCGTAGGTATAGAATTTTTCCTTTATGCAATCTCACAAAAAGAAATCCATGGGCGTTAAGTCAGGAGATCCGTGTAGCCATTCTACAGAACCTCCACGATCAATCCAACGATGTGGATAACGTTTATGTATCTAGAAAGTTCCCAACACGACGATCGTTATGATGCTGAGCCCCATCGCTAAAATGTACGCATATTTCATATTAAAGTTGGCGAAAACTTCATCGTCTGAATTCACAAATTCCACAATAAAATCACACGTAAAATAGTATGTTTGAATTTGTTTCATTACCCTCTAACATTTTATAGACAAAACTGTGGTACGTGTGATTTGAAAAAAACATTAGTGATCTTCGCCTTATCTTAACGCCCAAACTTACAATGTACACTCCAATCTTATGTATCGCTCTAGAAGCATCTTCTTCTGTCTGGTGTGCTTCTCGAAATATTCGCATTAATAGATTAAAACGGGACATCCTGTATATATGTATACAGCTGAATGATCGTCAATTGTTCACTTATCGTTAAACGATATCGAGAGACTTATGTTAGTGTGTGTGTAAAATTTAATTCGTCTTACTTCTTTATCGTGAAATGCATTCAACTGACGTGAAAAAAATTGGATCCTCTGTTTGTTCGACGTTAATTTACAAAATTTCATTTGCCTTTAATTTACACGACGTTAATGAAAATAAAGAAATTCGATAATTTCTCATACGCCGAGTACAGCGCAGTGATACTATCCATCATGGAACGAAACAGGTGTCGTAGTTATAAATGATAAACAGATAAAAGGGGGAACAGAGTAAAGCAGTATTTTCGGTATCGCTAAACCAATGCTTAATGTGATCGTGTCAGGCGTTAATTTTATTGGCAAGAACAACAAGAAAAGAAAATACAAAGACTGCGAGTACGCGTGAGTGAGAAAGATAATATTATCTTTTTCTAGGGAATATTTTTCTGAAAGAATTCAAATGCGATACATACAGATTACGTGTCATAACGATAATTATTTTAATATAAATTGTATCTGTAACTTTTAAGGTAATTAAATCTAGCGATTTAAACAATTACCTGCAGTATTTATTTCGCACCCGAGGAGTACCACTTAAAACACTAGTTCCACTGTTTATGCCATTTTATTTCATGTCTGAAACATACATCGCACAATTATATTACAAAGATGGCGGCTTTTAAAGCTAAAAGAAAGAAATAAATAATTAAACAGCCAAGTCGATCGTCGCTCGATGGCGTTCGAGCTTATTAAATTATTAAAAAATAACACAAATTGCTCGTTTACAATCGTCGATACGATTTTGTACCTTTCGGCGTTTCTCTTCTACCCGCGCACCACTTTTAATACAGTCATAAATACGGGTGTAAATACAAAGTAGTCGTCGCTCTAAATTTCTCTTCGACGTTTCTCAAAAATGCCTTTTTTCTTTTACACACATCTCTCTCTCACGTTCCTACAAATCGCTAGAATTCTTCTTCTGATGCAAAATCGTCTCGATATTTCGATGAATTCTGGCGATTTGCTGCTTCTGCCCTTTCGCAGGCTCTCCTCCATCTTCTATGTAAAGAT